CCATTTTTCAAGGATGAACTTGGATGCACTGTGGGTTTCTATTCATTCAGGAACCACTAAATGGTGAGGAAGCTCATTTTAATGAAAGCTCTGGAGAAACACTCAGAGGCAAGGCTTCCCATGAGTGGCCAAAAGGTCACATGAAGCCAGGCTCATTGAGGTCTACAGTGTGAGGTCCATGTGTGTTTTCACTCTCAACTGTGGGTTCTAGGTCTTTAAGAATAAAATCATGTGATATCCTGGATGAGATTGCCAGTGCACTGAGAAAAGCCACCCTTGGCCTAGATCTCAGTTTCCAAGGGCAACTCTCATGTGTGGCCTCTTAAAATCCCAACACAATTCATGGCAATACTTCTCTGAGTTAAGTTAAAGAACTCAGTCTCCAAGGGTAAGCACGCCAGAATTGAAGCCCAGGTGAACCCAGTCATCCTTTCCAACTGCCACACAAATGACCACAATTCAAACCAAAACACTGCACAGGGCCTTCACCTTCTTTCATATAGACACTCATCATAACCTCTGGCTGGTGGTTTCCATGAGGGACACAGCCCAAGACAGTGTCAAAAATAAGCTCTCTTGCCCCTCATTTGCCTACTCTCAGGCTGGCCTGGACACCCTTCCTGTGAAGCAGGAGTGAGCAAATATGCTTGCCTTTAATACTGCTCTGCTTCTCCAATTTGAGACCTACTGACTGTCAGGCATAGATTCTTTGTGTGAATTGGAGTCATGAGAAAACCCAAGCACCTATGGGCTAGCCTCTGCAGGGCTTTGAAAAACTCATTTGACCCAAAAAAATTCTATTCTCACTTGATGGGAATCAGGAACCTTACAGAGGAAGGCAAGAGGCTTCATCCACAATAACTACTCTTTTTGCCATTTTGGCTTAGGATGCACACATGGGATCTTTCTTTAATCCATCAGGTGCTGAAAATCTAAGCCACAGCCTCACACAGGGCCAAGAGGCTGATTCAGACACATCTCTTTGCAAAGCAATTAAGCAAAAAGCCACAGGTGATGCCCATTCATTTCCATTTGAAAACCCTTTTCTTCAGGCTTCACAAAGGGGTGGAAGGGCTGGCCTGAGGCAAAGACCTTCCTGACATTCAAGGCAACAGAATAATAGGAATATACAATCAATCAACAAGTACATGAAAAAATGCTCACCATCTCTAGCAGTCAGAGAAATTAAATCAAAACCACCCTAAGATACCCTCTCACTTCAGTAAGATTGGCAGCCACTATGAAGTCAAACAACAACAAGTGCTGACGAGGATGTGGAGAAAAGCATACTCCTGTACATTGCTGGTGGGACTGCAAATTGGTGAGGCCAATTTCGAAAGCAGTTTGAGATTCCTGGGAAAGCTGGGAATGGAACCACCATTTGACCCTGCTATTGCCCTTGTGGGACTATTTTCTGAAGACCTTAAAAGAGCATGCTACAGGAATGCTTCCATATAGATGTTCATAGCAGCACAATTCACAATAGCTGCACTGTGGAACCAACCCAGATGCCCTTCAATAGATGAATGGATAAAAAAAAA